CTGCCTGTCCTGAGTCTTCTGTGTGTGGATGTGGGCGGAGTCTGCTGGGAGCACCTGCTTTCCATCTCCAATCAAGCCTGCAACAAAGGCTCAGCTCTCCTGCCAGACTCTGCCAGACTGTTTCGTCTACCTGATGGTGATTCTCCTATCGGCTCAGCTTTTGATTTTTCCTCGCTGGCTATATGCTAACCTGCATTTTTTGTACTCCTAGTTCCCGCCTTTCTAGACTCCTGCATCCCGGCATCTGGCTCCTCATCTCTCCACCACCTGACCTCCCTGGTTAATAAACCTTGTTCCTTTTGCATTTTTGTTGTAGTTTTGAGTCCTTTTTGGGTCCACTCCAGTGTTACCTAACATCATTTAGTTTTCCGATCATTTTGTTAGTGAGCAGTCGAAACTCTCAGGTATGAAAACAAACTCGGCCTCAAAAAATAACCTAACTTAAGATAACCCAAAGCACCCCCTGCAGAGCACCACCCCTGGACTGGAGAGCATCTTTAGGGACAGGCTCTACCCTGTCCTGCGCCATGGACACACTCTGGATGTTGTTTGTCCCACACTCCATACGGCTGTACAACGCATCTCTGTAACTGAACTGATTTTATTGTTATGTGTTGTGCTGCCTCAAATAAATTTCCTTCAGGATAATAAAGCTTTATTAATCTTAAACGACAAAAGCTTAATGTTGACAATCTGAAATTATTTGAACATTTCTGCTTCTTGCAACTCTCCTTCAGATATGACTGAGTTTGTCTCATTTTTGTGTCTGTCCTGATTTTGTGCATTATTTAACGATCTGTCCATGAAATTACAATAATTTCAAATAATAAATCAAATATTTTGCTCCAACAGTTACTCTTTAAGGAGAAGTTTCCCCAAATAAAATAACTTGAGTAATTTCTTGGACCTCTGCTTTGTTCCTGAGTAATATTATTTTGAAGTAATGTTACTCTTAAGTACTTTTTTGGCTACTTCTTCTACATCTTTGCAAAGTGAAGTCTTATTAAAAGTCCTTTCAACTGGACTTTTGGGGCTGTATAATGGCAACACTTTCTGGAAAAAAAACAAAAAAAAAAACATCTGAGTTTCCTGACAGAGGAGCTATTCAACTTTGTGCCAGTGTTTGTTTCATGTGGATAGGCCATAGACTTTATAAAGAAGTGGACCAAGTGAGTGTGACGTCCCCCACAGCGTCTGGCTCCTCCCAAATGAAGCTTGAGATGCTCATGGTCACAGGAGCCAATCTGGAGCCAGACTCTGTACTAGGAATAGAACTTTTTTACATTTAATAGCTGTGCTGATGTCAGTACACTTCCCCCTCCTCTCTCTTTCTCCTCCTCCTCATCTTCCTTTTCCCACTCCTCCTCTCTTCTTCCTCCTCCTCTTACCCCCCTCCTCTCCTTTCTCACCTCCTCACTCTCTTTGTCTCCCTTCTCTCCTTCTCTCCTCCTCTTCCTCCTCTTCTCCCCTGCCTCCTTCTCCTCCTCCTCTCCATTCTCTGCAACACCTCCTCCTCTCCCACTCCTACTCCTCCTCTCCATTCTCTCCTCCTCTTCTTCCTCCTCTCCCAGCCTCTGTGTGAAGCTGATACTGGGACCAGCTCATTTCAGGCTTCATTGGGCTCCAAAGGCAAAGTGGAGACTCGGGCTGGTGATACAGTGATCTGATGAAGGTTGACGAGCACTAAGCTGCTTTGGAGGAACAGGAGCTGTGTGTGTTTCTGTGTGTGTTTATGTTTCTGATGATGGTTTCTTATGTTCTATATCACACACAACGGACTTTGTATATATATATATATATATATATATATATATATATATATATATATATATATATATATATATATATATATATATATAAAGGGTGTTACCTTCAGCATCCTTGCTACTGACTGGCTCTCTACTTGCAATGATACTTGCGAAATTCCAAATATAGAACTCGGCTCTAAATTCACCCAATAATTGCTAGCCTCGATGAGCTTAATTTGTCTGAAGCCAAGCACTGTGGGTGACGTCCCACTTCCTTGGTCCACTTCTTTATTTACTGTACATTCTTTAGTCTGCTGCTCCTCCTGCTGCTCCTCAGTCTGCTCTGTTTGATCTGAGCAACACAGGGGGTAGGGGGTTCTGGAGAGCAGGGGCCCAGGGAGGGTCTTATCCAATCTCCCATCATCTTAACACTTAACCAGAATGAAACCAGGTCTTAAACTGGGCTGTCCAGAATCTAAACCGGGTCTGAACCAGGACTAAACCAGGTCTGAACCAGGACTAAACCAGGTCTGAAGCCCCAGAGAGGGTCTTATCCTCAGTATTCTCTCTTCCCTGAAACATTTCCATTTTAAATCCACGGTGGGATTAGCGGCTCATGTCTTATGCATGTGTCTCTCTGAGGACTGTGGTATGGAGTAAGAAAGCTGTCAAAAATATTCGTGTGCATAAAATAGAAATCCGTGCGTATTTGGGAAATCCATGCATATTTGGCTGTAGTTGCGCATAAAATAAATATTTGTAAACTCTTAAATGAGCCCAGTCATACATAAAATATATTGTGTGTATTTTATCCATCAGAATATGAACTGAAAAATTACAACGTCAAGAATTACAATCACGAATTGAAAATTTATGATTACGCTTTCATCAGTACGAATACGAATTCACAGACGGAACTTTACTGTCAAAAATACGTCATCACTTCACAGACATTATCCATCGAGCAGAAGAAACATCGATCAAGATCAAGACTGTGCAGCTCAAGTTTGTAGCAGAGGGTAAAAACAGAGTAATAGCACAAGGAGCTACAACAGCGACCAACAAGTGGGTTCATTCAAATCTATTGTAAAAATGTCTTGTCTTGCCACATTGAATTCGGGAAACCGAACTCTGCTGTATAATATTGTGTAGAAACACCTCCTCTGAACGGGAAATTGCACCTATATGTTAGAAAACATAGTGGAGCCAGTTGGCAACATCAAATGTAACGTTCTCCCAGGGATCATTATCAAATATCAGGTTCTCTGTAGGTTTAGATTCAAACATTCACGGCTACAGCCACAGTGAGCATCAGTCAGTCTGAACCTTCAGCTGCATTTCAGACAATGGGTTTTTCATGAGTTATAATGGGTTATAATTAGCAAATCCATCCACGTCATGGTGACGTTAAACTTACCCGTAAATACTGTAAACATACCAAGGTGTTGCCTGTAAACACGAACATTAACTGATGCTGGAAGCTGCATTAAACTGTAATGTGTAACATTTCATTAGCTGTGACGTCTGTAACCAGGACAGTTTGGTAGTGTTTGGTGTAAACTGGGACATTTCAGCGTCCCGAGGAACTTTTGGTGGCATTTCATGCGAGAAATGCAGCTGCAGTGAAGACTGACTGATGCTCGCTGTGGCTGTAGTCGTGAATGTTTTAATCTAAACATACAGAGAACCTGATATTTGTGAATTAGCCCTGGGATAACGTTACGTCGGATGTTGCCAACTGGCTCCACTATGTTTTCTAACATATAGGTGCAATTTCCCGTTCAGAGGAGGTGTTTCTACACAATATTATACAGCAGTGTTCGGTTCCCGAATTCAAGACATTTTTACAATAGATTTGAATGAACCCACTTGTTGGTCGCTGTTGTAGCTTCTTGTGCTATTACTCTGTTTTTACCCTCTGCTACAAACTTGAGCTGCACAGTCTTGATCTTGATCAATGTTTCTTCTGCTCGATGGATAATGTCTGTGAAGTGATGACGTATTTTTGACAGTAAAGTTCCGTCTGTGAATTCGTATTCGTACTGATGAAAGCGTAATCGTAAATGTTCATTTTGTAATTGTAATTCATGACGTCGTAATTTTTCAATTCGTATTCTGATGGATAAAATACACACAATATATTTTATGTACGACTGGACTCATTTAAGAGTTTACAAATATTTATTTTATGCGCAACTACAGCCAAATATGCATGGATTTACCAAATATGCACGGATTTCTATTTTATGCGCATGAATATTTTTGACAGCTTTCTTACTCCATACAAGTGGGACTGATTTTAAAAGCTTGTTTTTAATTGTGATTTTAGTTTTTTTTTTTTTTACATAAATGTAATGCTTGTTGTCATGGCAACCCACCACCTGACCCAGCCACAACCAGATGAGTTGCAGTCAACACACCTGAGCTGAAGAGGGTGAGACCAGGAATGCAGAGGCTGCACTAGCAATTATCCATTTGTGCTGGGGTTTAAGTAGTGACCATTCAGATCAGACAGTCTGAGTCCTTTGACCCCAGATCTAGGGACAGAATTAGGTCATGTTTATGGAATTTAAAATCAAAATCTTCAAAAGTTCCTTTAATTCATATTTTTCCAGTGAGTTTTTGTTCACACTCAAAACAGAACCTTGGCTCTTTATTAACAGCCTTCCAAAACCCAAACATTTCCCAGAAGCTCCTGCTCATGTTCTACTAGACGTTAATCTCCAGTGTCTCTTCCACGCTGTAGTCTGCTGGGAGAAAGCCTCAAGAAGGAGACCGTGTGGTTGGATAAGCTGTAGTGGCTGCAGAGCTTGACTCACTCACATCTGTGACCGAGAAGAGGGCTCTAAACACGGTCCTGTCCATCATGGAAAGCCCCCAGCACCACCTGCACAGCACCATCACCAGACAGGAGAGCACCTTTGGGGACAGGCTGTTGTCTTAAATACACTGGAAGTCTTTTGTTCCATGCACCATACGGCAGGTTTACAGAGGTTTGCTTCATTGCTGCTGCTGAAAACTGAATGTCCTTCAGAATCTATAAAGTATCTATGTCTGTCTATAAAGTGCAGTTCCAAAGAAGAAAACACTCTCACACTTTCACATGTTTATTGAATCAGAATCACTTTGAATCATTTACAATAGTGCATTTACATCATGATCGCAGGTTTGCTCCAGTCCCAAGCCTGGACAAATGCAGACAGCAGCATCAGCAGGCTCCACACACAATACACACACACAAAACAGGCTGTGTAGCAGAGGGAGGGTCAGTGTGGAGGTCAGTATGGAGGTCAGTGTAGAGGGTCAGTGTGGAGGTCAGTGTGGAGGACGGTCAGTGTGGAGATCAGTGTGGAGGGTCAGTGTGGAGGTCAGTGTAGAGGGTCAGTGTAGAGGGTCAGTGTGAAGGTCAGTGTGGAGGACGGTCAGTGTGGAGGGTCAGTGTGGAGGACGGTCAGTGTGGAGGTCAGTGTGGAGGACGGTCAGTGTGGAGGTCAGTGTGGAGGGTCAGTGTGGAGGTCAGTGTGGAGGACGGTCAGTGTGGAGGTCAGTGTGGAGGGTCAGTGTGGAGGGGTCAGTGTGGAGGGTCAGTGTGCAGGTCAGTGTAGAGGGTCAGTGTGGAGGTCAGTGTAGAGGGTCAGTGTGGAGGGTCAGTGTGGAGGACGGTCAGTGTGGAGGAGGGTCAGTGTGGAAGGGTCAGTGTGGAGGGTCAGTGTGGAGGGTCAGTGTGCAGGGTCAGTGTGGAGGGTCAGTGTGGAGGGTCAGTGTGCAGGGTCAGTGTGCAGGGTCAGTGTGGAGGGTCAGTGTGCAGGGTCAGTGTGGAGGTCAGTGTGGAGGGTCAGTGTGCAGGGTCAGTGTGGAGGGTCAGTGTGCAGGGTCAGTGTGCAGGGTCAGGTGTGCAGGGTAGGTGTGGAGGGTCAGTGTGCAGGGTCAGTGTGGAGGGTCAGTGTGGAGGGTCAGTGTGCAGGGTCAGTGTGCAGGGTCAGTGTGCAGGGTCAGTGTGGAGGTCAGTGTGCAGGGTCAGTGTGCAGGGTCAGTGTGCAGGGTCAGCATGACTGAAGCCATCTAGGTCCTTTAGTCGATTAATCAGTCGATGGAGTCTTGGTCGACCAAAACTTGTATTAGTCGACTCATCATTTTATTTCAGACACAACAGACAGGAGAAGTGAGAAGGTGAGGTGAAGATTTGGTAATTTTTGGTATGTCTCTGTAAAAAGGCAGATTAAACTCATGATTCATATATTTAATCTGTCTTTATACAAATACATTGTTTCCTAGTACTTTTTTCTGTTTTTGCATGAGCTCGCCCTGCAGGTACAGACAGAGGAGCTTTGAGAGATTTTGCCACACCCCCACCCAATAAAGAATTTTGTCTGTCAGTCTTAAGTCCTGTGCTCTTTGAATGCATCATGTTGGTAGGGGTCAGTAGGGGTCGGAAGGGGTCAGCAGGGGTCAGTAGGGGTCAGCAGTGGTCAGTAGGGGTCAGCAGTGGTCAGCAGGGGTCAGTGACAGTCTGCTGTAGTGTCATGTTAGGTTTAAATGTACATTCTGCGAACAAAGTCAAAAGTACTAAAGCTCAGTTCTGTTCAAATACTGGTTTGAACAGTGCACTTTAAACAGAAATACAAACATTTAGTCTGGTCCACTGTTGAAACCACTCAGAACAAGACTCTGTGTGATTTCAGCCGATGTTAAAGCTGCACTACTGCTTGTCTTCACAAAGATGTCTTTGCTTTGTCTGGACGGTTCCATTGTATGGCAATAGTGTTGCCACAACACTAAAATCTCAAACTTGATTTCAATACTAAGGAACAGAGACTCAATACAGACTCCAAAACCACAATGGTAATAAAAGACACTATTCTGACAATAGGATGTGATTTTCAATAATAAATGGCAGTACTTTCTTTTCTTTTCCCATATTGTCTTGTATGTGTGTAACCCTCAGTGGTCCAGGGAGGTTCATAGTGTCCATGGGTGTAGACTAGTCTGTGTGCTCTTCTACTTGTTCTGATATAGCTCAATATCATTCTTAAGATGTTCAGAAAAAGTTTGCTTCTGTCCTGTGAATGGGACTGGTGTTATCACTTGCTCAAAAACACTTGCTATGCAAAACAATACGTCTCCATGGAGACAAGCAGTCAGGGCACCATCCACAAGAAGAGTTGTATAGTGCAGCATTTATTTATAAGGAGACATACAGTGCCATGGTCTGGCTTGTATAGGCTGCGCTCTCGGGAACAACTGAAAATGTTCCAAATTGAAATGAAACACAGAAGTGCAAGAAAAGAGTGTGCTGAAGCTGAGCAGACTGAGAACATGCACAAGCACTTTGCTCGAATTACAAAAGTAACTTTGAGAAGAGCATGTCAGTGAGCCAGAGCCAGACAGGGCACCCCCATTCATCACAGTCACTACTGGAATAATCACAATGAATTACAATCAAATTACAAAGGGCGGTAATTATTTAATTAAAGGAACTATGTTTGTCAGATTTAGATTTTAAATAAATCCATAAACTTGATCTATCTGTGTCCTCAGATATGAGGCAAACATGTTCAGCTCGAATATACTGTAGCTCTTACTCAAAGGGTAAAAACACAAGACATGATGGCCAAGTTGTTGAAGTTAGAATTTGGTATGTTATTAGGTTCTTTTTTTCAGACCTAGAGTGTTATTTCATACCTGACAGTTTCGACTGCTCACTAGCGTCTTCCTCAGAGAAACTGTCAGGTATGAAATAACACTCTAGGTCTGAAAAAAAGAACCTAATAACATAGAATATTGGAAGACCAAATGAATCTCATTGGACTGTTAGAATTTGGTGTTTTCAAGATGATTCTCCAATCAGAAAGCAGGATGAGCCTCACATGAGTCTCTCAATTGGGTTGCCAGGTTCAATGCTGAAATCCAGTGTGTTTAAACCTAAAAGTCCTCTCTCTGATTTGAATGGTCTCTACCTAAACCCAAGCACCTGCACCAGCCTGAGTCAGCGCTAGTGCAGCCTCTGCAGCTCAGGGAGGGCATTCTGGAGATTCTGAACTTTCACATGAAGACTGGCCAAAAACTTGTCTGTGTCCTCTATCTGCACGTTAAGGCTCTGGCAACCCAGGTGCAATTGTGATTGTAGGAAAAAAACTAAGACTTAACCCTACATACAGTTGCTTTGATAAAATGTTCCCTAATGTAAAAAGAAAAACAGCTGCTAACCCTGTAGTTGAATTTTAGACTCCTGCAAACAAGTTCTCAAATGTTGACGATTCTGGATGGGTTTAAAATGTGAATCCTGATTACAAAAACATTAACAGCAAATAAAATCACAATTAAATTACGTACTTGAGAAATCAAAGAGACTTTTTTTTTTTTTTAAATTGTGCAGCCCCAACTGCAAGTTTGTTTCTGATGAGTTCGACTCAAGCTGAATCCTTCTCCTTTGATGAGGCGACAGCTTTAGAGCTGGGGAGAAAAAACCTCAGCCTGCAGTGACTTTACTTGTCATGGAAAACAAAACTGGTTCACTTCAAATGGTTTTCAGGGGTCCAAAGTGGTCAAATAATAAGCTAATAATAATTAACAAGTAACTTTAGATCCACTCATTTATTCATTCAAAAGTATGTTGACCCTCTGGTGTAACTGTTTTACCAGCAGTGACCTTTTTACATTTATATTGTTTTATATTGTTGTGGCTAATGTATTAAATGTAATAAATCCCAAGCTCTATAGCCTTGTTCAGTATTATTATGGGATGGCTCGATTCTTCAGATCTGCTCATGTTTGGAGTGTTGCCATGGAGACCATTCAAATGTGTGGTAAATGAGTCCTCATACAGGGATGCCGGTGCTGCTCTCCAGTTAGGCTCCATGTGAGTCCACTTAATCTTTTGGACAGTCTAGAGAGGGACATCCCAGAAGGACCACGAGAAGATGAGCAGAAGACTTTGGGAGTGTGCAGGTCCAGAGAAGGTTCCTCAGTGTCCCTCCTTCTTTCCCCCCTCATCTCCTTCGATCTTTATCTCTTAGGGCGGTCGATGTCGTCGATGGCTGCGAGGAGTTTCTGCCGGGCCTTCTTGTTGATGTGTGAGCCCAGGCACACGTTCACCAGGTTAGCCAGCTGCTTCATGGAGTACTCCTGACACACAAACACACTGCGCTCAGCAACGTGGACTAGAGTCAGACACAATATGACAATAATATCATATATCACAGTATTGAAACAGCGTATTCCCTATCTTTAATACTGTCTGGAAAAATTCTCAACCCCTCCCCTCTCACTCTCTGCCCCTCCCCTCTCCCTCTCAGCCCCTCCCCTCTCCCTCTCAGCCCCTCCCCTCTCCCTCTCAGCCCCTCCCCTCTCACTCTAAAACCCTTGTATCTCACTCTCAGCCACTCCTTTCTCACTCTCTACTCTTCCACTCCTACATTCTACCCCTTCCTGTCCCAAACTCTACCCCTTCCTCTCTCACCCCCTCCCTCGCTCCTCTTTACCCTGTGGTTCTTGATGAACTGCTCCATGTCACCCTCGGTCAGGTAGTAGGCTTTGATGAAGGTCTCCACAAACTCCTTGTCAGGGACGGGCCTCAGGTCTGTGAGCTTCTCCAGCTTCATCAGAAACTGCTGGAAGTCCAACTGCATCAGCGCGCGCCCCTCATTACTGCACTTCTTCACATTGGCATAGCTACAGAGGACACAGGACGGGTCAAATACTACAGAGGACACAGAACGGGTCAAATACTACAGAGGACACAGGACGGGTTACATATAGAAGAATACATATGTCAACTTCTACAGAGGATTTATTGGGGACACATGGCACATGTACAGAGGACACGTACAGAGGACACATGTACAGAGGACAGGGGTGTGTAGACAGATAAGACGTACCCTTCGACCAGGGTGCGGTTGGCCAGCCGAATGCAGTGCTCCCACAGGACGTTGGACACAGCCAGAGGGATGCGCACATGTCTGGACACATCAGCCAGGCGCTGATGGAACTGCTCAAACTCCTGACACACAGGGACACACAGGGACAAGACTTAAGTACAAAAACTAGTATTGAAAGTAGATACTTGTTTGAGCAAGTATTCATAGGACTGAAATGTTGAGCTCAGAATCAGAACAAGTATAAGGGCACGGTCACATGTGTTGGTCCATTCAGCTGACTGGGGACTAAAGTTGAACCACTGATGCAGTTTTCATTTGGTGTGGATCACACTTTCATCACACTTAAGCTCAACCCAACTGCACCAAGAGAAAATAGAATATACCCCTCACCTGAGGGGTATAGGGGGAGGGGTTGGAACTGCATCAGATTTTAGTAATGTTTGGATTTTGTATTTGACTTATTCTGTGGACACACTGGTGGTACTGGTGACAGCATGGATCTATTAAAATAACTGGATAGAGTATTGTAAGCTTAAAGCGGTCTTGAGTTGCTTAGTGACCACTCATTGGTACTTCATCGAAAAAATCCCTCCTGCACAGAAAGGATTTTTCGCAAGAGCGCAATGTAATCACAAACTGCTTGTGTTCGGCTGACAAGGACGCACAGCTTTCAAAAAGGTTGGATTTTGTGGTGATACGAGACACATGGAAATGTTGTATTAGCCACAGCGCTTCACTTTATGAGCCTGTGTAACTGATTAGCCTCAACTCAACTGTTTTTCATGATCTGTCCCAGAAACTGATATATTTTTGTCCAATTATTTGAAACAGCAGCGATCATTAAATTTCTCTTCACTATACCTCTTGCTATGGCCTATTTCTCCCATTTTGATTGTGAGTCTGAGGTTTATTTTTGTTCATTTTCAGAGCACTGTGGAAGCTTTTTAAGATGAAAAAGTGTGAGTTGGGCTGAATAAAGGCTGGTTAATGTTCAGATGAGTGAACCATACTATAGTCCTCCAGGAGGTTGTCTCAGTATGATTCTTTAGTATGCACCAAATCAAACTGGTCGGCTTTCACAACAGAACAAACAAACAAACAAAAATAAATAAATTCACAGATGTTCCAACCCTGGGAACGCTTAAAGTGGACCAAATGGTGTAATTGTGAAAGCCCCTTCACCACATAGACTAGTATTTGCCCGTGGAGCACTGAGGGATTACATACATATAAGACCACATAGGAAAAGAAAAGAAAATACTGTGATTCAGTGCTGAAAATTACATTCTATTGTGTAAGTGTTTTTAATTGTCATTGAGCTGGAATCAGTCTTGAGTCTATTCCTTATGGCATAATCTATTCTCTGTTCAACAACTATTTAACTTCAACTCCAAATACAAAAAATGTCCGACCTTGAAGGGAAAAGTATGAATAAGTGCGTTTGACAGAGGAATAGACTGTGATCTGCTTTTACAAGAAAAGAAACTTGGACAAGTCTTCCCAAATGTGATGCAACATTTGTAATAGTGGTGCTCTGCCCTTGGCCAGAGCCTGGGAGCCTGAGCATAGCACCCTGAAGCAGCAGCAGGCTCTGGCTGCACTGTCCTCTCAACACTGGTGAGAAGTTAGCAAGACATGAATGAAATCAACTTCATACGACAGATTAGACCATCTAGTTTATCTAGTTTGACAATTGTGTTGAAGCTTGTGATTGTACTTCCTGGCTGGACATGGGCAGCAGATGTGACATACGCAGGTAATTCCATAACAGTTACCTAGCAACCTGTCAAAGCAGATCTGATGTACTCAATAGTTATTATTTCACAAATACAAACAACAGTAACTTCTTTATAATAGTAATAATAATGCTTTACCCTTGTAAGACCCAAAATCTCTTTAAAATCTTGTTCATTCACTCCACACTACTGTAGCCACAGCTGCCTTGGGTCAGACTGATGGAAGCGAAGCTACTAATCTGTGCCATCAGCCCCTCCCACCACTCGCAAACCACTTTCATATTAGGCAAAGTGGGCAAAGTGCGTTGCCATCGGGCACAATGATTTTTGACACTGGCACCCCATTTATGTTTAAACTATTACAAAAATGTGTTTCTTGTAGAGATGCACGGATGGGCTATTTTTTCATCCGCAACTGCGAAACGAAACTCATCATCCGCCCGCTGTCCATTTGCACCCAAGGTTTTGACCAATTTTCAAAACCGCACTCGCCCGCCATCCGCCCATTGATTTTAGATTTTAGAACAATCATATAGCAAACAAAGAAAGGAGCCTCGATAAAAATGCAAACTCTATAGCTCATTCATTCCAAAATTCACTCAACGTGCATGTTCACATTCTTAATTGTCTGTCACAAAACGCCGCTTGTTGCTCAGGGTTTAACTCCCTGTTCGGAACCTCATCATGAGTGCGTGGGCTCAATAAACGCGCCAGTTTGTTGTTCAAGAATCGTGGCTTTATTTGTCGTGATGCACTAAATAACAGGGCAATTGCTTCCTGACTCGCTTCGGTTGCTTTCCAACCGTTCATTTCACATACAGTAAAACAGACACCCGTACGCTCCGCGGGCCTATTCAAGAAGCGCGTGCCTCGGGGGCGCGCACGCAGTCACTCAGTCACGCTCACGCCACTCTAAACATTGCACATAGGAGTAAAGACGCATATCTCATAACACTTGACAGTATAGGCCACAGGTGTCAAACATAAGGCCCGGGGGCCAGATCTGGCCCTCCAAGACCAAGATGTGGCCCTTGGGTGATTTTCTACTAAAATATTTTAAATGTTGAATTTGAATTTTTCTTAAAGTTTCAGGTTGTTCATAATATTATAATATTATAATAAGAAAGAGTTCATCAATTAAAAAAGATTTCTGTAATAGATTTGCGTTTCTCTGCACAAATATTTTAACTTATTGTTTCTTTTGGGGTTTATATGCCATGAGTTTTCTAATCCGGCCCCTTTGGGATCAAAGTAGGTTGGATACGGCCCCCGGACCAAATGAGTTTGACACCCCTGGTATAGGCTCTATATATATATATATATATATATATATATATATATATATATATTTATTTAATAAATATATAATAAATATATATACTATATATATATTTTATATATATATTTATTTATTTATTTAATTTGAGTAGTTAAACCGCCACCCACCCGAATTTAATTAAATTATTATTTTTCGTCACGTCATCTGCCCGACCCGCGGCTATAAACGCAATCCACACATCTCTAGTTTCTTGTGCATAAATTGTTCCTGCATTCTGGACAGAATTTTGTATATTGATGACAGAGAGGAATTTTTTAGAACCTACTTCCTCTAATGTCTACATCCCTCCCCAACACACATTTCTTCATAAACAACAAATTTACTGATGCAAAATTATTATCAAAATGTACCACAGGCACACCAAACCAAGGAATGTTATAGCCACCTGCAAAGGTCCTATAGATAGACAGATACTTTATTATCCCGAACGAAATTCATATTTCAGGCAGAATACAATACATAATATAATATCAATTTATAGCAATTTATCAAATTATAGTGAAGCATTGTACAACCATATGAGTGTGTCGATGGTGCAGGACAGGGACAAGAGCCTGTCCCCAAAGATGCTCTCCGGTCCAGGGGTGGTGCTCTGGGTTATCTTAAGTTAGGTTATTTTTTGAGGCCAAGTTTGTTTTCATACCTGAGCGTTTCAACTGCTCACTAACAAAATGATCGGAAAACTAAATGATCCTCATTGGACTACTATGCTCAGGTCATGGACAGGAGCTCATTTAGAGCCTCTTCTCAGCCACACGAGTGAGTCAAGCTCTCACCCACTACAGATACTGCCTTTCTCACCAGCTTATCCAACCACATGATGTGCTTCTTTTTGAGGCTTCCTGTGCAGCAGACTACAACATTGAAGAGGACACTGCTTGCATGATTGTCTGGTAGAACATCAGCAGGAGTGTCTGGCAGATGTTAAAGTACAGCCTGCTCTCTCCCTTTCTGTGGAGCAGGTGTGTATTCTCCGACCAGTCCAGTCTGTGGTCGAGATCCAAATACTCTACAGCCTCCACAGTGTCCCACTCAATGTTGGTTGTAGTTGTGGCCTGCTCCTCCTGAAGTCCACCACCCTCTCTCTGGTCTTTGCAGTGTTCAGTTGACGCCGATGAGCCCTGCACCACACCACAAAGTCCTTTGAGCTGCCTGTACTCCCCTTCATCACCGTTCCTGATACAACCCACAATGGCTGTGTCATCGGAGTACTTCTTCATGTGACACAGCTCCGAGTTGTATTTAAAGTCTGACATGTAGAGGGTAAACAGTGTTGGTGACAGTACGGTCCCCTGTGGCTCAGAGATGCTGTCCCCCAGTCGGAAATACTGAGGTCTCCCAGTGAGGTCATCTGTAATCCAGCTAAACAAAAAAGAATCCACTTCCATCTAGATCAGTTTGTTTTTGAGCAGCAGAGGTTGGATGGTGTTAAATGCACTGGAGAAGTCAAAAAAGATCATCCTTACAGCTTTTCTTGGCATTCAGAATTCCTTTGACATCACTTGTGATCAAGTGCTTGTTGTTGGGGAAGCAATGTACTGTTTTTGTGGGTATAGCTACATCTGTGAAGAAGATATTTTCTGTAATGCAATCTGTGAGTCCCTCAATGTCCTCACCCCAGCTTTCCTGGAATTCTGCCCATTCACTGGACTGCACACAGTCTCTCAGAGCCACCTCAGTCTCAGGAGACCACTTTCTGAAATAGTGGGTGGTGGTGGTAGATTGCCTCATCACAGCCTTATAAGCATCATGCACACTGGCATACAAAAGATCAATCGTTCTGTTCCCTCTATATACTCTATATCTGCTCCCTATATTACACAAACTGACTCTTGTGAGCTTTAAGCCTGTTCCAATGTCGTTACCTTTTCAAAAACACACTTGAAGTTTTGTTTCATTCACACATTTGAGTAACCCTTTTATTATTAGTCTGTCTACATCTCTAAAGCTCAAAATGCTCTCTTATACGTTGTGATGTCATGAAGCAGTAGTTTTCAAGTCAACAGCTCCTTTTATCTTTTGTGTAGTACAGATTGACAATTCCAGG